TAGATTAAAAATTAGCAGCCCTCCAGAAATCCTCTGGGCCTTCTAATCTAGATCTGGATTCCTAAGGAAATACAGCCTTGAGGACTAAGATGCCACTATATTCTAAGCCTCTTTAGTGTCATGGCAATCATTGTTGAACTATGAAGTCAATGATAGAAACCAACCTCATAAATACCCTGCTACTGTATGTTCATTGTATTAATCTTGTTTATCTAGAGATCCCTATCACAGGTTGGACAGCAGCTGAACTTGAAATTTGATGACATGTCAGTGTCAATAGGTTAGAAGTCCTTTTTCCATCAGGCTTGCAAAGACTGATGTCTACAATATTGGTGATTCACAGACTTAGCAAGACTTGCAGAAGTCATTTTATACCACTCAGTGTGTGCCAACTTGTGTCATAAGAAAGCTGCTTGTTTGTCCCTGGCTGTTCAACCCCAGAATAACCACACAGAAACTATATTAATTAAATCATTGTTTGGCCGATTAGCTCTATATCCTTATTGAATAACTCATATCTTAATTTAACCAATTTCTATTAATCTGTGTATCACCACATGGATGTGGCTTACTGGCAAGGTTCCATCTGGCATCTATCTCTGGTGGGACTACATGGCTTCTTCTTGACTCCACCTTCTTTCTCCCATAATTCAGTTTACTTTTACTTGCCTAGCTTTACTGTTTTGCCCTACACAAGCAAAGACAGTTTCTTTATTAACCATGGTATTCAGAGCATATTGAGGGGAATTCCAGATCACCTCCCCGTTTCTGTCTAAATAAAAAAAGGTTTTAATTTTAACACAGAATAATTACATATAACAAAACAGGTGTCAAGCAAGAATTACAGTTACAATATTTATATCTAGTTTATACTTTGTCATAACTAAGGAAAATTATAACTATCTATTCTTCAAGTTCATCAAAGAATCCAGAAGTATATAATATTACCTAAGTAAACAGTAAGTACATTGTAAGCAAATTCCAAAACTCTAGAATTGACCGAGACACTGCCTGGACACTCACCCAAAGTTCTTCTGTATCATTGGGGTGCCCAACTTCAGTCTACTGGTCCAAAGTATCCAGCAGACTTTTCCATGAAGCAGGAAATTTCAAAACTAGTTCCACCTATATTGGTAGTTTGTCAGTCACTTTCTTCTGTGTCTTGAAGAATGTCTGGCAGACTCTTTTTGTTCTTTCATGAAGCAGGAACCCTGAAGGACAATCTCATGTCTATACAAATTCAGCAGTCATTTATTAATTGCCTAATAATCACTACATAATATTACACAGTCCAGGCAAGAGAAGTTTCTTGCCCAAATGGCTAACAAACCCCATAAGGAGCATCTTCACTGCCTATCATCATTTTGAAGTAGATTAGTGCTGCCAGGAGTAGATGTGTCTCATTGTCATGAAAAGTACTAAGTTCTTAAAACATTTTAAATGCTATATTCTGTTAGTCTCTGAAAGATTTAAAGATTACCTATCCAACTGAAATATATCTCTATATATCTAGAAAACCTGGCTAACATGCCTACAAGCTTGATTATTATATATGACTCTGTATTAACCTATATTTTTAATTATACATTACATTTTTAAATGAGCTGTACAAACACAATACCTTAAGCAAAAGCAGAAACATGTATAACAAAACTGGCCTTAAATTTGTACCAAAAAACCGAGATCCTTACCAACACAAATTATTCATATTTGTATCATATTCCCCTTTAAATGTTGACAAACAGTTTATAAATTATCATTTAGGAAATTTGGATATAGCTCTCTCCAATTAGCTTCCTGATTTTTGTTGGGGGAAGTTATTTTTGGGGGTGTTTATGGCAACCTTCTGGGGGTTCTTGGTCAATCAAACCACATTAGTCTGGATGGAATCAATAGGTTCTCATCTTCTGCAGAAACAAAAAAAAGAACCTCTTTTCCAAAATAACATGTTCTTAGATATATATGTTGGTTTAAATTAGCAGCCTGTACAATGAAATGTGTCTTTGTACTTAGCTCCTTCACAATCAAAAAATTCAAAGAAAACACAAAAATATTCATAATCCAGACATTCCATGTATATTTCATCTTTATGTGGATTATCTTTCTTACTCTATTACTTTTTATACAAATAATATTTTATTATCTTTATTTTTTAAATCTATGACTGTCTATCCTCTTTTATATAACATTGTCTCTTAACTCTTCTTCTTCTCTTTCCAAAGCCTACATACATTTTTTTAAATACACTGTGTCTCATTTAGAGGTCTTTTATGTCTGAATCTGTCCCATTGTGTATCTGAAATCCTTTTCAGTCCAGGGGCAAGCCTTAAAATCATAAGCACTTCTTAAAAAGCTAAGCTGCAGTGTAACTAGTACTAAGGCTTCATTGCCTTTTGGCTCAGTACAACTGAGCCTGGCAGAGGCATGCTCACTGACTCTACAAATTGTGCACAGCACCCCAGTTCCATGTAAGCAGGGGGTCTATGTTGCACCGTTCATTAGTTTGTAACACACTGCTTGCAAACCCTATTCAAATGCTTCTTGACTGGACCTCCTAAAAGAGTCAGAGTTCCTGCTCGTGAACCAGGAAGCTGCTGTTTGATATGGTGTCATTTTTTTGTTGGTTGGTTTATTTATTTATTGTTACTGCTGAATCAGGAAGACCTCTCTTAAAGGAGCTGCAGCATATTGCCACTCCCCGGCCCAAAAAATTGTGACTAACCTTTGTGTTTTTTTGTGTCTAGAATTTTTTTCCAAGCTTTCTCAGGATTTACATGAATATAGTCATTCATGTTGGTGCACCAATCCGTTGTATGAAGGCTACTTGTTTGTTCCTGGTACTCATCCCTGAAATAACCACACAAAAACTGTATTAATTAAATCACTGTTTGGTTCATTAGCTCTAGCTTCTTATTGGTTAGCTGTTACATCTTAATTTAACCCATTTCTAGTAATCTGTGTATTGCCACCTGTCTGTGGCTTACTGACAAGGTTCTATCCAGCATCTGTCTCTGGCAGGGCTACATGGCTTCTCCTTGATTTTGTCTTCTTTTTCCCGTAATTCAATTTACTTTTCCCTGCCTAGATCTACTCTTTTGCTCTATCACAGCCCAAGACAGTTTCTTTGTCAACCACTGGTATTCACAGCATACAGAGGGGAATCTCACATCAAATATGCGGGAGACAAACCTTATTTGGGACACTGAATAAGTATGGAAGAGTCAGCAGGATCATAACAGCCCCCAGACATCAGTATAACTGACAGCACAGAAGTACCACTGAGGCATTGGAACCCAGAGTGTAGATAGCAACACTTGCTAAAACAAAAATAATTACTTAATTCGTTGAAGCACATGATTCATGAAAAGTCCTTAAAGGTCCAAATATTGCTATTTTGATTTTGAAGTTCTACTTCTGACTATCTGTTTTGGCAAACTGAAATTTGTCAACCCAGGACGTGGTTTCTGTGCTTTAAAGCTGATTTTCAGAATGTCTCAGAACAGCACTGGGGTCCCAAATACCCAGTGTAGTTGTCAGTGGCTAATAAAGATTTCCTTTTGGATTTCACCCAAGTCTGAGTAGTCTTATCTGATGGATAATTGACAACAGGATGGTACAGAATCTACCCCTGTATTGGTCTTGCTCCTAAGTCCCTGACTTGTGCTGGCTGCATGTGTTTAGAGTGATGTTAATTACACTGTGAGGTAAGCAGATCACTGTATCTGCTCATGCTATCCGGTCTTATGATAACCAACCCCGGGGTGCTGTTGCTGGCCCAAATCAGGCCTGCTATAGAACACGCCAAAGGCTCTTTTCTGTCTCTAATCCAAAAGGACCCCAAAGTGGAAATTGCATACAAGTGGATCATGGCTAAGAAAGATAAGGAGGACACTTTATCTAGTGATGGATCCACTGAGGAGGAGGAAAAAAGCTACAGATGGCCGCTGTACCAGTCAGGCAAAGTCAGCTTACACCAGCATCTAGGAACGTTGTATCCAAAGCTTCATGGAACAGCAGTAGGGAGAAACACCCAGAAACCATAAGGAGAAAGATAACTACAAAAACCAACTACCCAAATAGAAGTTGAAATCTGAGGCAAGTGGTAGGCAGTCCCTCCTGAGGGGGCCAAGAGCTTCAAGTCTAATTCCAACTCAGGTGTAGAAGGCAAAACACCACAGAAAAAAAGGAGAAAAGACAATACCTATGACTGAAAAAGTTCAGCCTAAAGCTCCTGCCAAATCAGGAGCCCCAGCAAGAGCATAACACAAAGTAGCCAGTGGCAAAGCCATTAGATAGCCAGAAACAGCAGAAGTTAAAACAGCAATGACTCAGGGGAGGGGAAGACACCAGACTCCCCCAGATGATGGTACTTAACAAGCAAGTTTTTCACCAGTATAAGTGACTGTCACCCCTAACCAGAAGCTTTCTAGTGGTGCAACCTCTCCAGAGAGGGGGTCAAGAAAGACAGCAAAGCCCTTGAAAAAAAGAACCAGATGTTTACACTACAAAATCAGTGCTTTTCTGCTCGTCGACCAAAGAAGTCCCTGGGACTCAGCTTCCAAAGAAATCTACGAAGCTGAAACATCTGGTGTAAGGATGGAAGATAGCGTTGCTGAGTGTACAGTGAGCCTGAAAAAGAGAAGACTCCGGCAGCTACCATTGTCATCTTCAGAACACTGGCAGAGCAGCTCCAGGGAAGAAGATGTCAGCACAGAGCTCTTCATTCAGTTCAGACTCTGACAAGTACAGAGGATCATGCTCCTGCCAAGCCAGTCAGTAGCACCAAAATCGCTTAAGCAAGCTGGCTGTCTCTCTCGCACCTTCAGCAGCTAAGGCAGCTGCAGCTCCCAAGCACCTGCAGACAGTGGCCAGCAACCCCTGAGCAGGAAGGGAGACAGGAGCTCCTGTGAAGACATCACAAAGAAAATTGTGACACATTACCCCCTCTCAGTCCTTGGTGATTGCAAATGCGTTGCTTTCTCTCAAAGAGGGGAAGGGAGAGGAAGGAGGGAGGGGGAGACATGCTCTTGGTTAAAAACAAGGCTGCTGGAGATAGTACACCTACCAAGGCAGCCACAGTCAGTGAAGAAGCACCTGAGCAAAGGCTCTTTCTTTGAGGAGTCTAGTGAAAAACAGGCCTCTCCATATCACAAGCTCCCCAGATGTTGGCATCCCAGGTCCCCAGAGTGGAAAAATCTGCAAGGAAGAACAACAGTGGAAGAGGAGTCAAAATCAGAAGGCAGTGTCCAAGCCCGGTCCTGGAAAGAAGTGGGAACGGAATGAGCCAGCAGAGACTCCTCAAGCTAAGGAAGTTGAGCTCCAGACTCCCTACAAGTCTCTACAAAGGAAGAAAGGACAAAAGTGGGCACCTTGCCCATTCTTATTAATCAGGGAAGAGGAAATGGAGGCTACACAAATGGCAGACAGCTCCTTTGGTAAGAAGCGAGGTGCAGCTGGAGCCTGTGAAGAACAAGACAATCAGGTTCTAAAGTTCAGCACAGGCAAGGGCTTCTGGCATGGGAGAACCAAGAAACAGATAGCATGGGGCGAATCTCCATTCCTGCTCAGGTCAAGTCTGTCAAGTCTGTCAGTGAGTGACCTGGGTGGAATCATTCTTCGCGAAGTAAGGGTGATGGCAAGAACACACTCACTTATAATGGACTTAGAAAGTCTTAGTTTAGAGCAGGTCTGATGACTGCAGGGTCATACCATTGGTCTTTTTGTATATTCTTCATACTTATTTGATTTTGAGTGTCAAGTGTCAGGAAAAAATTAAAAGAGATATTGTTTTTCTTTAAGATATGTTAGCTGAGATTCCCCTCTCCTGTCCTGTGAAAGTCTTCTTACTGTGAATGAGGTTCATGTGTGTTTCATATCAATTCATTTTGTGCTGATTTGGCTGTGATTTTCAGAGATGAATTTCACAGATGGAGTCTCAGCTATTTCCTTAGGCATAGTACAAGTGCCACATCTGAGAACTTTTATAATTGGAGGATTCTCACTGTGTGAATGAGTGTATCCACATTTTATCTGTCCATCCCTTGAAGCCCTGGTGGGGAGACAACTCAAAAATATATCTATGTATCAGTTTGCTAAACCTCCTCTTTTCTCCTTTACTTGACCTGAGATTGCATATTTCAGATGCTAGCATGAATCTACCATCTTTTAGAGATAAAATTATTGTTCTTGGAACACAGCATCCTGTAAAATTGACAGGAAAGATTATAGTGTGCTGTGAATGCCATGCATTGTTTAACTATCTTGCTTTCTGTAGTTTTTTTATTTCTATTATTATTGTACGTGTTTGTAGCAAATTGCTTTTATTTCAAAGCAGGGTTTTCTGTATTGAAAGTATTTTCAAGAACTTGACCATTACTATTGTTGCTCTAAGTTCAAGACTGCACTTTCTTGATTTTAACACTGTCAAGAATAAAATGACATGAATATTGTGTGTAGAAAAGAAAGCATCCCTTAAATCAGCACCAGGCTCTCTGTGCCTGCACACCCATGACCATTTGCTCAGGAGACTAAAGTCATCGTTGTATTTTTCTCAAAAAGAGCAACCCTTCTCACGAAGTGTAGAATTAGCAGAAAATACATGCCTCTAGTTGGTTAGTGTTTCCACCCTGGAACTGCAAGGCTGAATACTTGACTGTTTACACAGCACCTTAATGCTCAGCTAACTGTCGACTTCATATTCAGTCCAGGACCCCAGTCCACCCACATTGAGGGTAGGTCTTCCATTCTTCATGAAACAAATCTAAAAAGACCTCACTGACATGCCCAGGGACTTTATCTTCTAGTAATTCTAGATCCTGTCAAGATGAGAATCAATATTAATTATCACAAGAGGGTGTGTTTTACTGTGAAAAGAACATGAATTTGGCATGGACTTGTTTTAAGTGCTGAAAGTAAGAGGAATCCCACACAGGGAGAACAGAAGTGGGGGACCTGGATGACCAAGGTCAGTTGCCAAAATCACATGGCTCTGTTTTTAAGTAACGTATCAATCATTCTTTTATAATAAATATTACTTTATGCCAAGCAATAATCTTCCAAGAATAAAGATTTTCTAGAGAAACACAATAATGATTTGTATATAGTTTGATATAGACATATATATATATATGTGTGTGTGTGTGTGTGTGTGTGTGTGTGTGTGTGTGTGTGTATGCAAAAGAAGCTTGATAAGGAAGAAACTTGCATGTTTTGTTGACTGGCATGCATGAAGTACATATATTGTCTTCTGGATCTCATTCCTCAGTGTGCTCAAAAGTGGCTGGAGAAAGCGACTATGATGCTGTTTTTTAGTTTTAAACCCTAGAAATCTAGGGGAGAACCCAGGAATATTTCTTTGCATAGCATTGGCCTATATTGCAGTTTAAAAAGTAAACATTCTACATAGGTTCATGTATTTAACACTTGGAGTTCCATGTGTGTGCAGGGGCATATACATGTGTATCTGAGCAGGATATGTGTGTGTGAAGGGAGCATATATGTCGGGGTATGTTTGTTTGTATGCACATTCTTATGTGTGAGAGTAGGCATTTGTCTGCCACCGGGAATCAGTACGGTTAGGAGAACTTGGGTGTTACTACTCTCCATTCATCCTGTTAAACAGACTCTTTCATTCAGCAATGAATATGCCAAGCTACCTGGCCATGAGTAACCAGCAAGGCTCCTGCCTCCTCTTCTGTCTGTGGAAGAGCTTTAAGATCATGGAATTCACTACTGTGTTCAGTTTTAAGTGGATTCAAGGATATGAACCCAGGCCTATCTACAAGCATGGCAAGAGCTTTTTCCATTAAGCCATCTCCCTAAGACCATACGATAGCCCGCCTTGATATAATTGAAACTTCTCTTTTTATTTCTTTTACTAAGCAACTCTTCCCTTTGTTCCAAGCTCCACAAGACATCTAGCAACATTACATTAATAATACACACTACTTCCACTATTTCCTGTAATATTCACGAGTTCCCATCTTTAGATCTTGAATGAAATTGTTATCTACCAGTATATTGCATGCGCTCACACAAGATTGGACACACTGGAAAATCTAGACAATTTTCTGTCTCACCATCCAAGGGTTCTTACTAACCAATAAATAAAAGTATAGGCCTTTTAAAAATTTAGATAATCCATGAAAATAATGCCAAATTCATTGTCTTCTTTCTGGTATCTTCTCTGACCACATATCCTAGTTTGATGTTCCAAATCTCCAGTTTCTGTGGCTTGTAGTCTTTTATATCAATATATACTTTAGTTAATGCGGTTCATCAGTTACCACAAGAAAATTCAGTTATATTTCAGTTTCTGTGAGATTCTTCAGTATCCACTTAGAAACAGGCTTACTTTCCTTAGCATTGTAGGAGGTGTTGTGTTTTTCAGCCATGCTGGCAGTGAGACAGCCACTGTTCTGTCCAGAGAATTATCTATATTAGTCACTTTTTAGATTTCCATGAGTACATTTATTAAGTATACAACAATTCATACTAAAAGAATAGGTAGTAGGTATATGATGAATAATAGATAAATCTACATATATGATAGATAACAGACAGTTAGGTAGGTAGGTAGATAGGTAGATAGATAGATAGATAGATAGATAGATAGATAGATAGATAGATGGATAGATAGATAGATGGTAGATATAGGATGATAGATAGATAGATGGATAGATGGATAGATAGATAGATAGATAGATAGATAGATAGATAGATAGATAGATAGATAGATAGATAGATAGATAGATAAATGTTGTGGACCATCCTCAACAAAAATACCTCTTTCAAGGTAGGGGCATGGGAATTTAGAAATACAAGTAAAGAATATGAAGACATATGAAAAATAATAAGAAAAGAAGCTATAGAAAATCCTGGGAGGGCATTCCAGTGAATACAGAAATTGCCATGTTTATTTTTCCAGTCTTTATACCCAATGTAAATGGGGGTGGGAGGGGGAGAAGGTAACAAAAGACTTTATTAACTTTATACTAAGGACAATTCAAAGTCAATTGTTTTAACACTCTGAGACATCAAATCATTAGTATTCTGTTGTATAGGCAGAGGAGCTGCTTTAGACCAAATATGCTGAAGGCAGCCACTCCCCAGGTGACCTCATAGTTACAAAAAAATAACAGAAGTACATTTGCATATCCTGACCACCTGTCAGGATGGAATGGAGCTATATTAATTTCAAAAGAATCAAGTAATCACATTCTGAGTTGGGGCACGTGCAACTATGCTTGTCAACAATTTTGAGCAACCGCCAAACTCTCTGATCAACAGGCAAGGTAGAAATTGGTACCACATTTTTGGGTGTCCACAAGATACATATAGAGAGATAGACAGATCAATAGGTAGATAGATAGATGATAGATAGATAGATAGATAGATAGATAGATAGATAGATAGATAGAT